CGTTATAGGGGCGGATCCCACGGTACATTCTGGCATACTGCCCGGCTTGCGCTCCGAGCTCAAGTTCCGCCTTCGAGCGACCATTTTGCGTTTAACCGAGCTTCGAGGCACGGACGGGACGCGTCGGATTCTGAGAGAATTCTCTCCCGCAAATGAGGTAGTAGGGTCTCTAAAAAGGTGTCGTCGTGACACTTTGCGAGTCGAAAGTGCGGTAGAAGATTTTTAATGAATTCATGTAACCGCTGCAAGGAGCTGCAATGTTCGCTCATCAGCAGGATATGCCCTCTGGTACAACACGCTCTCTCGCATACCCCACTCGTGCTGTTTTTCTCAGTCGTACCACGGTCGACCTCCAAAGAAGGAGGCTCTCAATTCTAATGCTACAGAGGTTCCTTTCTTTATGCACCGCGGTCCTCGTCGCACCTCGTATCTCATTTTCGAGCGAACTAGCACACCGATCCAATCGCGACCCGTGCCTTTAAGTAATTTAATCGCCCTCCTGACGGCATTTGACTTGTTGTTCCTGCTTCTTGAATGAGTAAAGGTGTGCACAGAATCGTTCGCATGCTAGCGTTCACAACAATAGCTTACGAAATCATGGGCGCTGAGGAGTTTATTTGGGTCCTCAATTTTGACTTGTTTTTGTTTGTTAACTGCTGTTTTTGGCCGCAGTTCGCCTTGCGAATGTTTCACAAGAATGCTGGGTTGTGAACAAAACTTTCGCCCCAGGCGGGACTAGAACCCGCACCTCTCGCTTTCCGGGCAAGTGCGCTACCAGTTACGCTACCGGGGCACCATTTCATCCAACTCAGCTTTCTTTTGTTTTCTTAAAGTTTACTTACAGTGAAACGTTTCCCGGTACCTTGTACGTTCTTGCCCGGTAAGTGAAAGGTGCGGGTTCGAGACCTGCCTGGGCCGAAAGTTTTATTCATAACCCAACATATTTGTGGAAAATACAATAAGATTAATAACATATTACATAGAAAAACTGGCAAAAAAGCTGTTGTAGTGCCTTGAGTGTTGTAGTTACTCCAAGTTGACGACCTTGCGTGAACACCTAGCCGTCAAGAGAGCGTCTAACGACTTTGCTGGCTGAAGAAAAGTATTGAAATTATTTCATACTTCTCGTCAATTTCAATGATTACATTCCAGGTCGATGCGTTTCAAGGAATCCCATTTGCCAGCCCGCCTATAGGACCGCTACGATTCCAGGTGCACTTATTATGACAATTTTTATCGCATATTTAATGATACGATAATACATATAATATGGTGAAAATGATATATTCATTCATATAAATGATATATGCATTCTGTACCGTACCTGCCGAGCATTTTTCTTTACGGATGAAACCAACGGCCAAAGGTATGAAAAGACTGACCACGGCCTCGACTCGGTTCCAATAGTTCCATGGATAAGCATCGCAAGCTATGAAAAAGGTCTTATCGTTAGTTGTAATTTTTAACCCTTTCGGACCTGAATTTTTCCCCGTGGAGAAATTCTTTCTTCTAGCTATTGCTTATTACTTGTGAACATATA